ATACTTTTTTACTCTGATAGAGACCGCAATTTACAAAATTTTTATTAAAATTAGCTATAAGGTCCATAAACTCTTCAGGAACACTGTAAAGACTGTGTTTGAATTTAACAACAGACCTGATTTTCTTAAACTAAAAAAAAAAGGTTTTAAGAATTCTGAAATTAGTAGAAGAAATCATCAGCAAATGCAGTTAAGTACACAATTTTAAAATAACTAAGGAAAGCTACAGCACAGTTTGTCGGCACTATTAAACATTAAAGGTTTTATATAAATAATTTCAAGATTGAAAACAGTCTGAATGCGTCCTATCATGGTTCAAGACCATCTTGCAAAAGAAGTTCTAATTGTAAGAATTTCCCTTCCTGATTAAATGAAGGTGACAAAATGAAAATGGATCAATATTTTACTGGCAGCCTTCCCACAGACACAGGAGGACCCCATCAGTTAAATCAGCTGTCAGGGCATTTGGCTCTTAGCAGCACGTGATTTAAAGCCCTTGTTGCAAAACCTCTGGGGGATCAGGTGGGAGTTAGAAGCAAATGTATTTATGTCTGTGTGTGCAAGTCTTCATGAGCACTTGTGTGCAAAGCCTGAACATGTGTTATCACCAACTGCTGCAAACCGAGCGTGTTTTTCATCGCTTGCTTGTGTCCTTTAAATATCTGGTACCGAAATAGACTGTAGTGAAAAAGATCAATCCAGAAAAACATTTTTTGTATAGAGATACATGTAGAAATGTTGAATACTGCTATTAACTAGTCAAGCCAGAACACATTCTGTGTAGCAGGACTCACCTATAAGTGTGACCCACATTGAGAGTGCAGTGCCGTAAACACTGAAGTACTCCAGGATGTCGTATCTCATGAAACACAAGATGGAGAGACCTGGTCCATCACATGCATGGTAGATCTGCAGGAATACAGCATTCAGGAGGGATGTTAACCACTCTCACATCATCCCATTCACAGCTCAACACAGCTGACTGCTTGTCAGGTCATTGAGATTAAAGAACAGCAACAGTTTCTCACCGCAGTGAAGAACATGGTGAAAAAGTAGACCATGGCCTCCATGTGGAAGCCCCTCTTGGCGGCCACGCTGGCTGTAGGCAGGAACACCAGGCTGCTGACTGTAGGGAGCAGCATCTTGGCAATAAATGCACCCATGGCTCATGAAGGGATGGTCGACTCAAAGCTTGTAGGTGATAGTTTATCCAAAGGTTCTTGAGTCTTTGGCAGGTAAAATTAAAGTTATCCAAAGTTCAATAAAGTGTGAGATCAGATGGTACAGTCCTTGAGTGTCTTATGTCTTTCGGTGTGTGAGTGAATGAGGATGCTTATACAGCGCACACTCCCACGCAGCATGAACACACCCAGCTGTCCACTTTGGCCCTTTAAAGTTTAAATGTCCTCGTGGATGGCAGGTCCACCGAGGCCTGTATGTGCAGTGTCATCGCTGGTCAGCTGTTTGCATACCAGTGCAACATGGGAGGGGCTGTGGGCAGGGTGAGAGCCATCATAACATAATGTAGCATATCTATGGACTATTTGAAACCAGGACTGGACACTAAGAGGTTGTGAGTCAACTTGAAGTTTAGGCTGGAATGAGCAGACGTCCAGCTGAAAGACCAATCCCAAAATCTTTATTGTGGTTAACTTGTTCCAAAGATCTGGGTCGAAGCCACATTTGTGCAACTTTATCTAATGATATCATCCCAACACAACTCTCGCACAATGTGACCACCTCCCCTCACAAGGCCTTCACATAACTATGGGCGGAAAGAATGGCATCTAAATCCCGCTTTTCCTGGGAAATAAAAAATCCATGTAAACATCTTCTTTTGCTAACTGCAGATCATTTTTGATTAAATATGATGCAAGTTTTAGAAATCTGACTCACCTCGTGCCACCCTCCATCCCCACCTTCTTAACTTTGAAAATTTAAATCAAAGAATGTGTAAAACTTCGTTTCATTTTATTTTAACTTAGTGTCTATTCCTTATTTTGCTGTTTTTATTTTATGTGAGGAACACTGTGATTTTATTTTGAAAGGCTCTATATAA